CCTTTGCTAGGCTGTCTACAGACTCCTTGTCAATAGTAAAACAGTTAGAGTGCTGAGACCACAATTTTCCTTGCTGACCGGTTTTGTCTGATTGCTTCTCTGTATTTCCTATCTATACCCAATTGTTATTGCTTGTATTAGATTGAAAACTCCTGCAGTCAGGCCCTTCTTTGTATTCTGTGTTTGTCCAATAACCAGCACAATGGGGGCTGTTCCACAGTCTGAGCAGCCAGGATCTATGGTGGTATAAGCAAAAAACATGTAATAATAGTAATAAAATAACGAGAAGTTAGAACATGGCATGATGTGCAATATGAGCTCCTCTCCTCCCTTCCCCCTCTTCCTTCAGATTCGCAATATTTCAAATTTTTTATACAACAGAAGACAGTAAACGAGGAGGTTTCAGAATAAAGTATAGTAGCTGATGTGTCCTTTCAGCTGCTGAAGTGTTTCCATCTGATCTACTCAGTAATGATGGCATTTCCAGCAATTTCAGCAGGGAAGCCTCTGTGGGCACCTCTGTATGTCCCCCCAAGGTAAGACCAACATGTGGCAGCCAGGCTAGGCTGAAGGAAGGTCATGGCCAAGGTTATGAACCTCTTTCATGCAAAAATAGAGGACTCCAGTCTCCCAGGCTTGCTGCCAATATATCACCTTCTAGTTTTGTTGAAATGATCTTGAAAAAGAACCTAAAAAGGGCTGAAGGGGCAAAAGAAGAATGTTGAAATGACATAGTTTCATCTTCGTGCAGTTTAGTACTAATTTTGTCCTTTGTCTTTAAGCTGCCTTTTAAGTGCTGTTTGTCTCTGTGGGAAGCAAATGGGTCACGTTGTTCTATGTTTCTACTGTAATACGCTGCCTGCTATTTTTCTCTTAGATTATTTGTGTAATCTTTTTTGTGCAATCTGTTTGTTCTTGAGTCTTGCAAGCTTTGCCTTTGCTACTTCTTTCCCAATAAGCAGTGCAACTTGTTCTGTATTCACTCATGGGCATTCTGCACACAACGGACTGGGTTATTTCAACCAGTGTGAAAATATTAAAATGGGGAACATGTGTGGGCACTTAATTGTGGTGAGTCCGACCACAAATACCTTCGCTGTTGGTAATTGGCACACAGGAAAAGCAGACCTTTGTTTTGTTTTTATCAGACATAATGATAGATACATTGTTTTTAGTGGGTTTTTTCTGGTTTTCTAAGGAAATGAGGCTTGTGCAATCGCACTGCCTGTGTGCATGTGCCTGTCTGTTTGTCAGTTCCTCCCTCATCAATAACGCTTGAAACTAACAGCCATTTTCAACCAAATTTGAGTGAGGCACAGGAGTCGGGGGAAGAGACCTGGTTTTACGCAAGTCTTGTGAGTTCCCAGATTGCACCAAAGTCTGCGGAAGGTATAGCATCTAACAGCCGCATCACTGCCAGCCAGACTGGTCATATATTTGCCCGTGTGCCTTTCCGTGGATCCAGCCACCTAACTGTAAGCTCTCATATTTGAATAATTTGGCTTACTTGCTTTTACCCTTCAGGCTAGTGAGTCAGTTGGGGGTGGTGCTAGGCACAGAGCTTGTGTTTTGATTCTCACTGGAGTGGCCATCTCTCATGAAAAACACTGTTTGCTCCAGGCCACAGTGTTACAATTTGCATATAAACTTATGAAAAAGGAAGCTTTCTTTAAGCTTTCCTCTGCGAGAATTTACAGGAGCATTTCTGTCCGTGTACATAATACCAGAAGCTAGACTTCTCATAAATGTAGATGGGTTAAGGCTGTTGCTGCCTGAATGGGAATCTTCTGTGGAAAAACCCAGAAAGAGGAAGGAAAGCCTAAGGAAATACCAGTTTCAAGGAGAGAAGTTGGCCAAGACTTCTGTTGTGCTGCTCTTTGGTTTGTACCTGGCCACCAGCAGTGTAGTTGGGGAATGCCTCAGAGCCGTGCAGGAATGTAGCCTTTGGGAGAAGAGAAGATGTCTTTATGTCCTTTGCTCAAAGAGAGGATGGAGGTACAAAGGCACCAAGTGATTTGCCAGAGATTACAGGAGTATATATTTGAGTTAGGAAACAGACCCAGGTCTTCTGACACAAGAAGTACAGCCAGAAGTATGGTCTACATATACAGCTTCTCCAGCAAATGGAGAGATGCCTTGGTCAAGGAGGAAGATAAATGTTGAAGTATACAAGAACTGGCTAAATTGTGAATGTGAGAAGAGGAGGGGAAGAAAAGATTCCCACATGTTCTACTCAGATGTTAACAAAGAAAGCTGAGAAGTGTTTGCATAGACACTACATTATTCCATGTCCAAATGCCTCATAAAAATAATACCGGATGATCACAGAATGGCACACCAGGGAAAATAAATTCTTCAGCGGAATATTCCCTCTGGAAAAACACTGTGTAAAGTAATACACTAATGGCTTTCAATTTCATGTTTTATATATAGAGATATTAACTGCTCCCCAGACGTCTCTTCATATTACAGCCCAGCTACATGAGCAGTTTGGAGAAGGCCCCAGAGCACGCTCGGTCTTGTCCACACACAGGACCAAGCAGTGCTCTCCTGTTGTACGTGCAACTCCTGCGGTATATACAGTAGGTTTCTTCTGCCTCCTTCCAAGAGCAGTACTGCTCCTGTGGTTCTCTCCAGTGGGATCTTTTTTTTAATTCTTCCTAGTCCTCATGGTTTTTTCCATTCTTCCCCCATGCTCTGTAGCCTCACCACCATGCTGGGGACCCTGCATTCCTTCTCTGCTCGTAAAAAAGGAGTCCTCACAAGAAGCATTACAGTGGAGTGATTAAAGCACAACACTGTCAATCAAAATGCTAATAACAAATGCTAAAGAAAGTTAAGTGTAAAAACAACATTATTAATTCCTTTTTGGGGGGTTTCCAGGCTTGTCTGGATTTATCTGGTGACTTCTCTCTCCATATTGCTCAGACTGGGAGCTGTTTCAGTCAGGAACTGTCTGTCCCATATAATGCCAACTACGGTTATGCCATTGCAGCAAATCAGAATGATGTGGGTTCTTTTCCAAGCTTTCCTAATATATCTCAAATGTGTATATATATCATCCTGTCGCATCCTGAGGGATCCAAAAGTAGCTTAAATGCTTTGTTCCCTGGATGTAGCCTATTGAAGTCTGGGACAGGCAGGGAAGAAGTTGTGAGTGCGGGGACGTTGATGTTGCACTGCGCAAGGACAGCAGCCCTGCTGTTGGAATGATGAGGCATGTCCAAGTCCTTTTAGGAAGTTTTGCAGTATTTGTTTGAAAAGGCCAATAAACACAGACCGTGATATGAGAGAACATCGTATTGTAGCTGGATTATCTAATTACTATTAGGGATATATAATTTGTATATGCATTTATGAGTAATTCTATTTTGAACTCAGTCTGCCTTCCTGCTTGCAGGAAGTTTTGCAGTATTTGTTTGAAAAGGCCAATAAACACTAACCATGGTATGAAAGAACATCATATTGTAGCTGGATTATTTAATTACTATTAGGGACATATTATTTGTATACACATTTATGAGTAATTCTATTTTAAACTCGGTCTGCCCTCCTGCTTGCACCTCAGCTCTCGCTTCCCTTCCCTTCCTTCCCACCCTGGGCGATCACACCACTCCACCCATAGAGCCTTGAAAGAGAAGTGCAGGGTCCCAAGACTGGGGACACCACAATTATTCTCAAACTGGAGAATGCCATTTTGAGTGGGACAAAACCCCAAACCATAGTTACTCTGTTGCCTTCGGTGGGGCTCTCCTGCATAGGGTGGCTGAGGTTGTCCTAAATACCTTACGTGACTCTGTGAATGAATTATTTTCAACACTGATTACTGGGTAAGGACATCAGACCTACATGGGATATCCCTGTTTTCTAGAACTCAAATGAGTGACAGAGGAAAATTGCAAAGGTGTGCCTTCCACCCACCCTCTTCCATCATCTCTGCACCACAACCTTCACTAGGAAAATGTCATTCCCGTGATCTAAGAAACCCTTGTTCTCTGAAATCATGTCTTCATTTTAAATCTGTCTGCCCCATAACATTTTCAACAACAATCTGAACAAGGCAGCAAGCCTTTCGTATGTGTGTGTGTGTACAGGTTTTTTGTGTGTTACGTATTTGTATGTGGCATTAGGGACCTTTTTCAGAAACAGCCAGAGCTCCTAGGGCTTGTGTTTACTTGGAGTCCTTACTAGCAGCTTCTGATACACCTTTCTTGAAGTATGGTAAGAGTAAAGTATCCACCCATCAGTTTCTTGAGGAATAGTTTCTGTGCTTTAAATAGACACAATATCTTAATCCGTATTAATCTTCAAACAGAAAAAAAAGTCATTTTTCCATGTAAGAGATGATATTGCACTCTTTATAATCACTCAGTCTTTAGCTAGTACTTTTTATTTAAAATAATCAACTAGCTCAGCATCAGTGTGTTAGCAAAAGTGCAAGGATTGATACTGCTATACTGGCAAAAGCGTAAAAAGTGAAATCTTTTTGCTAGTATAATTGGCTCTATTGAGGGAATTGGTTTAAGCTGTACAAGCAAAAACTACTCTCTAAATGGTAACAATTGCACTGCCACCAGGCAGCTTTATGAGGCATCCTACCACAAAATCCTTTCATGTGGAGGCGAGGCTTTAGGCACAGGTTTATCCCATCTAACTGAGGAGCTGAGGATGACTATATAGCTGGGTTAGATGACAGCTGGATGGTTTGCATCTGGGGCTCAGACTCCTTATGATGATCACTGGTCTAGCAGCAGTAGAACTGATACCAGTGCAGTCTTGGGAGCCAGTTTCAAGCATCTCTAGATCTTTTCATATGCCCCAGCACTGGAGTGCATTTCAGTGGCACTGGATTTTTGCCGGCAGTGGCACAAATTGCTCTTCTGTTGACTGAGCTGCTGTGTCCCCCTTACCCAATATGCAGCACAGGCATGTAGGAGGACTTTCTTTGCACTTGAGACCAGGAGCTTGCTTTGATTCATGTCCTTTCCCTTTGGTGACAGGTCGCTGTGCGCGCTGTGGGGAGAATGTTGTTGGGGAAGGCACCGGCTGCACGGCCATGGACCAGGTCTTCCATGTGGAGTGCTTCACCTGCATGATGTGCAACAACAAGCTGAGGGGACAGCCTTTCTATGCAGTGGAGAAGAAAGCCTACTGTGAACCCTGCTATATTGTAAGTACCCATTCTTGTTTGCACCCTGATTTTAATGCACAGACATTGGAAACGTTGATTTCTTTCATTACTGTACAGTTGCCTTACAGTTTAAACCTGACAATCCTGTGGCAGTACCATGGGTACTTTTTCCATGGTGTTTAGAAGATCTCTGATCTTTTCAGCTTCCTGGGTGAATTTCATTTCCTGGTCTAACCTATCTCTGAAATTAAGTGGCCAAAGCAGGGGAAAGAGGTGCTTTTTGTGATTATGCAGTAGTGTTGCTCTCAGAAGCTTTCTGTGTTGAGAAACCAGATACCAAAATGCTTACAGACTGTGGTGCCCGCTAAGATTAAGGAGGTGGGATGCAAGATAACACTAAAACTTCTAAAACCAAGACATTTGCATTGCTTAATGGAAGTCCTTCTACTGAACTAAGGGTCTTTGAACTGGATATCTTTTGAAGCTTACCTTACCCTAAAATTTCATTTCATGCCTCCAACAAGCTCTTAAAGCAAACAATTAACAGTTGCTCTGAGGAGTTGCACCTTTTAAGAGGCTCCTATGAGAGCTACTTGGAACCAGTTGCACAGTTGCAAATTAAAGAAACATCACATCATGTGCCTGAGGCCTTACCTTGGTGTGACCTTAGCATACAGTATATTGGGATAATCCTTGTAATTGAGAATAAGAAAAGCACCGAAACATTCTTAAAGCATTGATAAGTCTTTCTCTAAACCTCTAGTTCAGAGTCTTTTTATAAACACTGGGCTTGAGACCTTTCCAGAATTGGATTTGCACTTCTGAAAGTAAGAATTGCTTTTCTGGACATTTCTGGCATTCTAATAATAATTAAAGCAATAATATGTATTTCTGAAAATGCCACCAATATCCCATTATTCCTTCTGTTTCTGCAGAGCCTTTGCGGTGGGATTATTGCTGAAATATTGAATATAAAAAGGGAGGATTCTATCTTATTTACAGTGGCAGTGATATACGGGCCTTGTTAATTGGCTTTTATAAACTAAACGATCTTTTGATGTAATATGTACCTTTTAAACCATTTCCATTTTTGTTTGCACTAAAATGATTGCACCATAAAAACTGTAAGGTTAATTTTGTGGCAAGTTTGACCATGTGCAAAACACTGCACACTTTAGGAAGGTGCCTTCATAATATGATTGGAGCAACTTTATGTAACTGGAATTAAACATTTCATTGATTTCAGGCTGGAATTGACTTCATCTGCTTGCAGATTGATACTTTCTTTTCCTCTTTTTTAAATCAAGCACGCATTCTTCACCACTCATCTGCTTTAGTTTGGGAAAACATCTGCATTAGCCACTGTAGTAATGGTTTAAGATTATTTAATCCCATTATTTATACACTTCATTAGCCTGAGTGAATTGTTGGCAAGGGTTCAGTAAACTTCCTACATTGGGAGATAAAAGGATAAAAAAGGAAAGGGAGAAGGATTCTGTTCCTTGTTTTCTTTCAAATTTATCTTCTATCTATTTAAGGGATATAAAGGAATGATAATTGCCTGGTTGCACCTGCGTTTGTATGTTCTGTGATATGGCTTTGCAGCTCTGAGTATAGAGGAAAGAGTAAACGTTTAATAGCTTTCTTTTATATAACCAGAAGGGGCCTTTAAATGTTTATCCATGCAGTCCACAAAAAACTGGTTATGGACTTAACCCAAAACATGTCTGTATCCATCTGCTGCTGCACATGCAGGGGAAAGGATGGCAATGCTGATGGGGCTACGTATGTGTAAGCTGGACAGCTGGTACTGTGAGTAGGAAATGGAAAGCAGGAATCTGGCAATCTGATGCAGCAAAGGAAGAAAAAAAAGCACCCAAGCACACATTAAACTCTTAAATGTGGAAGAAACAAGTGTTCAAGCCTGAATATCAATACCCTTCAGAAAGCTCAGGACTCTGCTGTGCCGAAAGCCAGGTCTACAAGGGATCTCAGCACCTGCCGTGCTATTGGCTTTAGGTGTGAGGAATTTGTGTCGCAGAGCATATGTCTCATTGATTTTTCAATGAAATGAGGTCTGCATTGGCTTCAGTAGGACGATGAGTGCCTAAGTACACTGAGGGCCTCAGCTAGGCTTGCATGTTGTTCTTGCAAATGGATTGGGGGCCCTTAAATTGCTGAGGCACAATCTGAATGCTTTTGCCTTTGGATGCGCGATGTGGTCATACTGAAGTCAATGAGAGTTAATGACCAGCTTGAAATCTAGCCTGTGCTTAAGGATTTTGCTGAATTGTGGCCTCTGATTTTTTTTTTTTTTGGAGCTTTCCCAAGTTCCATTATCAGAAAATAACTTGGACACTTGGAGCCCTAGTTCTGTAGGAAATCAATGGGACTGAAAAACCCAGACTCAGACTCCTGTGGACCTGAATTCCCATGAAAGGTGGAGCCTGTGTGACTAGCCCAAGATTGCACAGTTAATTCATGGTTGTGGCCAGCTGAGAAAACAGGATTCTCAGCTGGTATAAATCTGAGTAATTCAATGAAGCTTGTTTACTGGTCTGCCTAATTCACACTGATTTCTAGCACACATCCCCATTTCCCCAAGTCCAAAACTCTCGACCTATTATACAAGCCATTAGGCCAAGCTGCTTCATTTATGTAAAGAAAATGAACTATAATATTTGCCTGGTCGTGATATAGAAATTCATTAATTCTTTGCCTTTTTTTAATAATTCCCTTGTGTGACTTGTGGCTGTATGCACATAAAAACTATGCACAAAAATAAAAATACATGTTTTTCAACAGTTAGAATTGGCTAATCTTCTCAGTTTATTATGTGACTCTTCTTAGTTGTGGTGGAGTGCAGCCATAATTAAGATTACTGTGAAGAGCTGTATTTAATTACTTGTTAGTCAATACCAAGCCTAAATAACCTGCGGAGGGGTTGGCTTTTTGGTTTTGTTTCTTGTTTTATTTATCAGTGACCCAGTTAAGATGAAACCCCCTAAAAGTCTGAATTAACATGTATGGAGACCAATCACCTGTTTAAAAAAAAAAAAACACAACACATTTTTCCTAATGGGAATTTGAGTACCAGAGTTAATTTCTTTCACACAAAAATCCCCCCCACACAAAAGCCAGTCACTATCATTTCCTGTTACATCTTATGAATGCAGCGAGTTCTGTTGCCAATGTGTTTGCTGGTTTTGCTCTGCATCCAAGGATTCTTTCATTATTAATGTTATTTCTAAAAAAGTACCAGTCTTCTCCATTAAGACACTTCTGCTGAACTAAAAGCAACTGCAAAAAATAAAGTGTAAATTGGAGACAGATGTCTCCTAGTCATTACAACAGTCAAGTAACATCTGAAGTATCATGATAGGGTTTCCAGTGTAACCAGCGTATTGCTGCACATGTGATGAATGCTATGTCTGCAGTGTGTTATCAGTATACTTTTCCCCTCCCTTACAGGGCAGATTACTGACAAAAAACATTTGGTTTGCTTCCTGTAAGCAGTTGAAGAGATTTTAGCACTGGGCTCAGTGGAGAGAGAAGGTTAAGAGCAATATCAGTAGAACTGTTGTTACAAAAGATTGAAGAGCAAGATGTTAGAGCAGTGCCAGCCGTCTGCTTTCCAAATACCGTATTATCATAAGGACTGAACACAAGGTTAACCAGACACACCGGTCTGGCAAAAGTGATGCTGCTGTTTTGTGAATGGGATGTTCTTTGATGTCCTGATGACTTTCTCTGGGATATGGAAATTTTACTCCATTCTTTATCCCCTTTCCTGGCTGTCCAGTGGCTGGCAGTTGGGGAGAAACTCTCTGAGGCTGCAGGCTGCGAGGTGCTGAGCACCTGCAGTTAGCGCAGAAAGCAGCAAGATCTTGCAGATGCTCCTGGCCTCTGAGAGTTTCTTCTGTTGTGTCCAAGTCAATGTGACCCACCACTGGGCCCTGAGGGAAGGAGCATGGTGTGATGGGGAAGGGGATGAGAAAGCAGAAATAGCCAGGGTCAGATGAAAGAGAGTTCAGAGAAGTGGTGGGCTAGAAATGATGAGTGATTGAAGGAGAGGAAAGAAACTGTCTCATGTTTGTTTGTCTAGCTAGAGCCAGGGAAGATGGTGGGTATGCTCTGCAGTGCCCTGTGGAGAGCCAGGGATCGAGGTTTCCTGTTTCTGCTGCAATATATTGAGGACATGACCTTAAACCCTACCCCAAAGATCACTTACAAGGATTTTGCAGGGTGAGGTTCATCTTAAAGCTGTGGAAGTGCTTGAAGGGGGAAGAATTGTTCATGGAAGTCATGACCTGATCACTGCCATTCCCCAGCTTTAAACTCAGGATCATAGTGCTCCGCTTTTTTCCCTGATCATTTGTTGGGGGTGGGGGAACACCAAACCCATATCTTAAGGGTTTCTGTCTCTTAGTAGCTTCTAACTCCCTGGCCTATCAGAGGCTGTAGTTCAGTAAGAGAAGGTAGTTTGGACCAGAACACAAGAGAAATGCTGATGTTTTAGGAAATGGTACGACTAGAGCCACTGGTGCCATGGAGCATCCTGGGAGAGCTTAAATTTGCTAACCATTCTGAAACGTTGGTGTTAACTCAATTTGTGCTCATTGAAATCTCTGGTAAAACTGCGGTCAGCTTCAGTGTGACTGCTATTGTAAACCTTCCCGAGTGTGCTCATGTGAGTGTGGTGGTTTGAAACCTGTGCAAGAGCAGCTACCTCCAGCACATACGGTTTAAAGTGTAAGGTTGATCCCTGCAGTAAAATTACATCTATTTTTAAAAATAATTCTGCAATTTGTAAGCAGAGATTACAGCACTAATTTAGCAACCATGTAACAATTTAAATTGGACCAGAAAAGAGAAACTGTAATTTAAAGATTTTTTTTTTATGATACAAGTTTTCTTCTTTTTAAAGTAAAAAGCCCTTTATTCTTGTTTTTGTCGAGCTACGTATTGAATTTGAGAGTAATTTATGGAAAGTGCTGCCAGCATGGTATTGCGAGTGCTCCACAATTTGAATTTAAACT